ATTTCCTTGTTTAGCGATACACAGCCAAACACAGCCAAACTCAACCTGAACACACACAAAGTCACAGCCGAAAATAAAAACAATAAGTGTGGCTTGATATTGTTCCCAACTGTCTGTTATCAGCCTGCAGCACGGAGCAGAAATCAGTAAGGCTGCCTGCACTGAGTGTGTGTGTGTGGATTGGTCAATTTGGACCAATCAGCGGGGGCTTAACGTAACGGCTCCGCGGACGTAACGTAACGGCTCCACGGATTGGCCCATTTAGTTCCGGGTACGTGCTTTCGACATCATGATGACGTTTCAGCAACGAGGCGTTTTGGGGAGGTATTTTCTGTTTTAGAGTTTTACTCGCTACAGGGTGTACTTTGAGGGTTTGTGACTCTGCACACCGTTTACATGCAGAAAAACCTTCATAACACACAAGGGGACGGGTAATAACCGGAAAAGACATGTGACCTTTAACTTTTTATTTAGAATTAGATTTTTTTCTCCAAATTTTACTTTTTTCTCCAAATTTGATTTATTCTCCAAATTTGACTTATTTCTCAACATTTTACTTTTTCCTCAAAAAATTAACTTTTTCTTCAACATTTTTTTACTTGATTATTTATTTATTTATTGTGATACTATGAACTATTTATCGTGTAAATAGGAATGATCCACATCCAGGTGTACTTTCTTCGTGTATGTTCCTGCCTGTGTACATAAGCTGCTCATAACCAATTGCCCCTTGCCGGATTAATAAAGTTGTCGATTGATTGATTGATGCATGTTGTTTCTTTCTGTGCAGAATGACCGGTATTTGATCCTCACGGCTCAACTGTACGACGCCAGAGACATGGCTGCTGTTGCTAAAACAAAAGGAGACAAGACGGGTCAAAGGTCGGCTCAGGACCGGATCCGCATCATCCTGCAAGGTCAGAGAGCTCCTCTAACTGAGTCCTGCACTGCAAAAACTCAAATTCCTTCATAGATATGTTTTTTATATATTTTTTATATATCTGAGACCTATGCTATTGCCTAAAAATAGCATGATAGGTGACCTTTAAAACATTTATTTTCGTGTTAAACTCATATATTTCCTGCGTTGTAGAGATGAAGCAGCTGGAGCCCCACCCCATGTTCAATCCGGCTCTAAAGGTGGTGGACGCGCCGCAGAAGGAAAAGAAAACACTTCCTGTCACCGAGGATCTCGCCTTCAGCGTATTCGAACAAACGGAGAAAGCCCCTCCTAAAGAGAAAGGTTTGCAACTCAAACATTAACTTTCTTCATTCATTAAGTGACTTTAACAATGAACTTTCTAATTGTTCTACAAGGTATTGTAGATATAAAACACAACATACTGTTTGAATTGGATTTGAATATAGTAATTTATCAAAATAAGGATAGGCAAGGTACATTTATTTATACAGCACCTTTCAACATAAGGTAATTCAAAGTGCTTTACAAAAACGAAAATCATAAGGAAATAGTGCAGCGGAAACACATTTACAATGGCATTTAAAAACAGTCATTAAAAGCTAATATATATGCGAATGTAGGGCTCTTGGTGGAGCCATTTTTTATTGGTGTATAATAATAAAAACTACCATTTTGAAGCCTGATGTAATGAAATGCAGCATATTTACTTTGTGTTTTTACACGTGGTTTATGACCTTTGTTTACCCGTTGCATTAATCATGTCATGCTTTTCCGGTTATTACCCGTCCCCTTGTGTGTTATGTAGCTTTTTCTGCATGTAAACGGTCTGCAGAGTCACAAATCCTCAAAGTACACCCTGTAGCGAGTCAAACTCTAACACAGAGAAGACCTGTCTATGCTGCCCCAGAACACCTCGTTGGACATTTCTCTTTTTCCATTGTTTACTTCTTGGGTATAGTGACGTAACATAACGGCTCCGCAGATTGGTTCAAATGGACCAATCCGTGGAGCCGTTACGTTTGAACCAATCCGCGGGCGGGCGGACACACACACACACACACACACACACACACACACACACACACACACACACACACACACACACACACACACACACACACACACACACACACACACACACACACACACACACACACACACACACACACTGCGGGACGTTGCTGCGAGGAGCGGGACACTGTGAGCTGGTGTGTGGGGTCGGCGAGACACCGGGGAACTCAGCCTGGGCACACACACAAACTCCCAGCCAGGCTGTGTGTGTGTGTGTTCGGGCTGGGTTTCGCTGTCTCGCAGATGCCACTGGGCTCACAGGGAGGGGGGGGGGGCAGGAGCTCCAACAAGCCATTTAGGACAGAGAGTGAATACACATACTATACAGAGATGCTGTATGAGAAACCAATGTGAGTTTGGAAAATCCGGTGCCTTGCTCAAGAGCAGGAGTGAACTGGGACCTCTCCAAGTAGCAGTCCATATTTTAGGTCTGGTCGGGGACTTGAACGGGCGATCCTACAGCTCCCAGTCCAAGCCCCGACTGACTGAGCCACTGCAGGTTGATGGCATTAAAAGATAACATGCAAAAGTATAAATGCACAGAATTTGTGATATTGGATAATTAAGTTTACCTGGTTTATTCTTGTAGTGGGGAAAGTCTTCACACTTTTAGGCTGTATTCTAAGTTTGAGTGCCAAAAATAAACGAGGCTTTGGGATACATTACTTTTTTAAAACCAACATTTAATCTCACACTTTTTGCTGATCATTTCGTCACACTTTCCTTTCTGTTTTCCAGCTCCAGTTGTGAAGAAGAACGAGCCGAAGGACATCCGTGACTTTGACTACACGGCTCGCAGCTGGACGGGAAAATCCCCCAAACAGTTCCTCATCGACTGGGTCCGGAAGAACCTCCCCAAGAGCCCGGCACCCGCCTTCCACAAGGTGCCTGCTGGGAAATACTGGAGGTCCAAGTGAGTGTGTGTGTGTTGGTGTGTTTTATTCCTATACACATGGACATTTTGGTGCGTACAAATCCACTTAGATATTTACTCAAGTTAGACTTAGATATACAACGTTTAAGGTATTTGTACTTTACTTGCGTTTTTTATGTGTTTTTGTTTTCTACTCTGCTACATTTCAAAGGAAATTTTTGCTTTTTGCCCTAATCCCCACACAAATCTTATAAAAGGGTATACAATATAAGGTTTTGTTACAGATGAATTGTCCAATTTGTAGATACAAGAACAGCTGAAACAATGAGTTGCTTGACAGGAAATTAATTGTCATATTAATAACACCATTTCTCAATATTTTTCTACATTACTCAAATAAAATGGATCGATTAAATATTATATTTGATCCTTTAATTAATAAATTCCTTATAAAAGTAAAGAACATTTTCTGTAACCTTGTAAAAATAATTAGGGCTGTCAAACGACTAACATTTTTAATCAGATTAATCACAGCTTAAAAATTAATTAATCAGATTAATCACCATTCGAACTATGTCCAAAATATGCCATTTCTTTATGTATAGCTATTGTTGTGGGAATGGAAAGATAAATGAAAGAAGGCGGATATATCCATTTAACATGCAGTATGTATGTTTATTATAACATTGTTCTGTTTGTCAAAATGAAAGACAGCCCACACACCTATCAATCATCAAACCGTGGGGTCTTATTT